TTATACACATTCAAAAAAAAACTTTCTAAACACAGTACATTTCATTAAATTGGGACAATTATTCACTCATCGCAGGGATAAGATCACCAGCCAGCTTAAAAAAAATGCAATTTTTTTTTACAACTCAATAAGTTACTGTGCAACACAAGTCACAACACAACTCAATTAGTATTTAATCATTTTGTAATTTCTAGTCCCTGAAGTTTTGCAAGCCAACATGTCCTAAGATTTTTTTTTGGTCAGCCAGTGTCTGACACATCCAGAAATCCAATACTCTGATTAAGAATATCCAAATGAGACTGAGAGTTTCACATATATAATGATAATAATAATCCTTGCATTTGATGTAGTGCCTTATCACATCTTCCATACATCTCAAATCGCTTCACAGAATAATAAAATAAAATAAATTATCCTTACATTTGATATAGCTCCTTATTGTGTCTTCGAGATGTCTCAAAGTGCTTCACAGAATATACTGCAAAGTAAATTTACTGTATATTTTGTGGGCAAAACGAGGCAGCCAATTGCGCAAAGCAGTGTCCCACAAACAGTCGTGGATTGAGTGACCAAATTATTATTTTCTTTATTGTTGAAGGGATTATTACCCCCGGAAAAGTGATCCACCAATCTATATGCCAATTGCACATGGAAATCTCTCCGTGAATGGAATGCACACTCTCCATGGAGAGAATTGTCACAGGTTGACGAGAGCCAATGATTGGGGACATAATGTGCAATGGGGTACTGCTGCACTTTAACCTGTTAAAACTGCTCAACTTGTCTTTAAAGAATAGTCACAACTACTCAGATGGACAGCTACTCAGCCTCAGGAAGTCCCCAAAGTACCCTGCAGTGTATAAACCATGGATCAAACAACTGACTCATATTATTGCAATTCATTTGGAAACTCTATTCGTGACTAAGTGAGCAATGCTTGTTTTACTCACCAGATCTATTCTACAAAAAGCCTTCAGCAGTGTTGCTGGAGATACATATTGAATTTTGCATCTGCCAAACCAGATTGTTCGTGAAAAATGCTAATGACTAACTTAATTTGGGAAGAGTATGCAATGCTCTAATCTTGAAATTCCAAGTGTATAAGTCATCTGTGCATAATTTTAGAATGTGCGTTATGTTGCTCCCTGCACAATATCAAATTGTTAAGACCCCCAAGAGAAGTGGTTATCAAAATATATACTGATAAAGTCTTATTACCTAAATAAACATTGCAATTACCTGAAGGCAGCTAGGAAAAGTGAAAGGAATTGCAAACACCACAAAACATTCTCTGAACATTGATTGCCGGTAGGTTTAAGATATTTAACTTGCTCAGCTGGAGCTGGACACGCAGGTGCTGTGCAGGGTTCTGCTTTCACCAAATTGCCCCATATGTATCCTCATGTTTGATGAAGAAAAATGAATACATTTACATGGATGATTTTTTCATGGGCAAAGTTCAAGAAGTTGCTCCACAGTAAATATTTTGCCATGAGCTGTTGCAATGCTAATAATGAGATGTTTTGTCAAAGGAGCTTCAGTTTTACAGAAACAACTTGCATTTATATGGCAACTAAAGGATAACAATTCAGAATGCTTCACAGCAGTGGAGCTGGACAGTGGGGTTTTCAAATGAGGCTTCCATCAAACAGACATGGGATGCCTTATATTTTACTACACCAAAATTACATTTGTATTGCGCCTTACACATTGGGAAGACGTCCCAAGGCGCTGAACAGTCAGAGTTTCGGACCCGAGCTGTGGGTCGGGATTGGGGATGGTGGAAGGCAGGGGGGGAAACAGGAGATTCTTGAGATGGTTCGTGAAGGTAGCAAGCAAGGGGGGGGGGGGGGGAGAGGGGATGGAGTTCGCTGAGCGGAGGGAGCGAACAGGATGATAAGGGGTAAGGGAGGTCGTAGAAGTAGGGGAGAGCAAGACCGTGGAGGGCTTTGAAGATGAGGGCCAGGATCTTGAACTGTATCCTCTGTGTGATGGGAAGTCAGTGTAGTCGGGCGAGGATGGGGGTGATAGGGTCACGGAGACTGGTGCGGAAAAGGACACGGGCTGCAGAGTTCTGGATGATCTGCAGTCTATGGAGGGAGGAGTTGGGGAGGCCGACAAGCAAGGAGTTTGCATAGTCGAGCCTCGATGTAATGAATGTGTGTATGAGTTTTGGTGGTCTGCGGTGTGAGACAGTGTCGGAGCCGGGCGATGTTGTGGAGGTGGGGGAAGGCAGAGCGGGTCATGGCATAAATGTGGGGTAGAAAGAATAGTTGAGGGTCAAACAAGACCCCAAGGTTCCGGACTGGCTTAGTGAGGTGGAGTGTGCAACCACTAATGGTGATGCTGTCAGCGCCTGAGGTGAGGAGGCGCTGACGGGAGCCAATCAGGAGAGCCTCGGGCTTGTTGACGTTCAACTAAAAAAAATTAGCTCTCAACCAGGCTGACTAACTTTAGTCAGTTATCGGTTCTAAATCCTTCCAGTTATAATCAAGGCTATTAAAAATCTGTTTATCTCACATCAAAAAATAAATGTGTCCTAATTAAGTCTTATTAGCAAATTCACAAGATTAATTCAGGTAAATTGGACACTTCCAGAATAAACACACTACCGTCCATCCAACAACAACGATGACAACAACATGCACTTATATAGCGCCCTCCACGCCGGGCGGCATCTCAGAGTGCTTAATAATGGTGGAGCCCAAGCCCGAGTCTGGAGGAGGAGGAAGGTGACCGTAGGTGCGGTCAAAAAGGAAGATCTTCAGGCACGACCTGAAGATGGGGAAGGAGGGGGCCACAACTTCAAACTGTTTTTTTTAAAACAAGTCTGCTGTCCTGGCCTCAGTCATCCTCTGGGTAAAAAAACACTGTTCCTGAAAATGCCCTTTACAACTCTAAGCTTATGTCCAAGCAAGGCCATGATATTTTTCTGACTTCACTTGACAGTGTGGTCGGTGACATATTGTATCCAGTCGCCTGGGTTTCCCTATATTTAATTAATGCAAAAATAATCTTTTGCCTGATGCAAATAATTCAAAATTATTTCTTTAAGGAAAGTAACATGTATGGCAATTTGAGCTACCTTTAACGTTTTGATTTTATGTCTTGATCGTACAGCACTACAAAACATTCAACGATTGTGAAATACATAACAGCAGCAGCGCACCACCAGCACAGCAACCTTGATTATTTACCACAGGTCAAAGATTACATATTGATCTGGAAGAAGGACTTTACTATTAGAAATCTAGTTACACTTTTCGATTTTGGTGCAGAAATACTGCAGCGGTCCAGAATGATAAAGGTTAAAAGAGAATCTAATAGACGTGTTCAAAATTATGAGACTTTAAAAGACGAATGTTTCTGCTGCTAGTTAATCGTCAACAGGACAAAAAATTCAAGGTTATTACTTGGAGATGGTTAGATTTTTTTAACATAAGGGTAATTTGGATGTGAAACATATCACAACAGTTAGTATTGAACATTAATTATAGCATTCAAAAAGAAATGGGATAAACATTTGAAGAATGAAGACAAAGAATATAAGACTTTTTTGGGGTGTTAGTGGGTGTCTGACACATGCAGAAACCCATCACTATGCTTAACAGTATCCAAACCAAACAGAATTCCGTGAATCCAGAATTTCCAGAGATATTTATTGGAATGGATTGCGCGCTCTCTGGATTCCCGCTTACCTAATTCGGAAGAGTATTAGGCGCAGATTGGCACGAGCCAAGGCTTGGAGACTCTACACTGTGCGTTGGAGTCTAATCGGCTAAAACCGCATAGCTAGCCATTGATATCGCTGCCCGGCAAGCTTTCCTGCTGCTTGTCCAGCTAGGACCATCCTACCCTTTAAGGCTTTGGTTTGCCGGGTTAATGGGAGTTGAGTGGGAAGAATTCTAGCCACAGTGACTGATCCGCCCTTCCAAGTCCTGCCAATGAGCCAGGCTGGCTGTGCTGTCATCAACAGTGCCCTGGAATACTGCGGACTCATCCGGCCCAAGATTAGGACAACCGAGACTGCTACAGCGGATTGGTTCAATTCTGACATTCCGTGGCCAAACATGTCACCTTGGAGCCAGTTCAGATCCTGGGAGAAGCCACTTACTTCTCCCCAGGAGGATAGGGAAAGAGCAGAAAAATATTATTGAAGCAGATAGCTCTGGTTGGGCGCTGGGAGCACAGGCACAATAGCCTCATTGTATGCTGACTTTTATAAAAAGGTGTTAATGAGTTAAAATTATAAGTCCACAAAAGAGTTAATGCTAATTTCCTGTATTTAAACCTCATGGGAATACCAAACTCTGACTGTTTAAAAAAATCAGTAACCTTAGATAAGATTAATGAAAATTCTCTGTATTTAACCAGGTCTTCTTTGAACATAGATATTTAACATTACTCATCTGCCACTGTTTGACTTAATTTTAATATGTAAATATCAAATAAGATCAAGCAAACATAAATTCTTCCCAGACTCACAGATAAATGTTAGGGAAACCGAAGTCTGGAGAGAGCGACATCATAAATAAGAAAAAAGTTATCCAAGGTGAATGACTTGTTTAAAGGTGGGACCTGCGTTCTCCTGCACTAGGTCACTTGGGTGACTTGCATAAGACAAGCAGTCAAATGTCTAGTGGATGTCCTTCTAATTGAGTGGGGACACAATTTTTGAATTGCCCTTATAGGAGATACAGAACAACCCAACCACACACAGGAAATCTCATCACCAATGGGAACACAGCACATCCCAGTTTAAAATACACTTTATTACAAAGAGTTTACTCTTTATATAATGAAACAATGAGATCCAGCTTCCTTTTCACAATGATATAGTGGTGTGCAGAATTACAAAGAACACAAAAAAATGGTTTCTGCTGCCTACATAATTTTTGTTTTGCAGCAGGTGTACTAAACGCAGTAACTGCACCTGATGCTTTTTTTTTTAAAAAAAGAATTTGCGACATAGAATGGAGAACATAATCTAGTAATCCTACCTCATATTCTTCAGCTTCTATCAGCAGTTTGCCCGTAGTTATTCTGGATTCATAAGGAGGAAATAAATTCTGAAAAAGAAAAATAAGATAATGCTGAAAATATTAGAAATTTGTGAGTGGCGCCTTTGCTACGCAAGGTGAATTTTACACAAAAATGCTCAAGTCCTAAGCAACATTTATTCTTTCATTCATAACATTTAGTCCCATCGCTCAACAACGACCCCGAACCCAATCCACTGTACTGAAGTTTGGGTTTGAAAAAGCAAAAAGAAATGCAACAACAACTTGCATTTATAGTGCCCTTCACACAGGATATCGTCTCAGAGCTCTTCACAGTGGAGGAGCCTGACGCCGAGCCAGGGAAAATGGGAGGTGACCGTAGGCACGGTCGGTCAAAAAGGAAGGTCTTCAGGTGTGATCTGAAGAAGAGCAAGGAGAGGGCAAGGGGGAGCGATTCAGACAGAGTTCTAGTCTCAAGCTGTAGTGGCTGAAAGCATGGTCATCAATGGTGGAGCAGAGTGGATGAGGGATGTACAGGAAGCCCGAGCCTGCTAAGCGGAGGGGGCGAGTAAAATCCAACACATGAACTATTATATATACGCACACACGCACATTACATATCTACATTTATATAGCATCTTTCATGTCGGGCGGACGCCCCAAGACACTGGACAGTCCAGGATTTACATCCGAGTTGCCTCGCAGTCTCTCTCTACTTTCAAAACCATTTATATAACCTTTCTAACTGTGGCTTTGGCCGCTGCCCGCCTACCCCTGCTCAGGTCCTAATCCCTCTTTGTGAAGAGACATGAGGCAGGTGCTAAAATTACACGTTGATGTTGTTATAGTTCGAATGAATTATGGAGCTAGAAATATAAACTATCCAAAGATAAATTAAAATATTGAATGGTTAGAAACAATCCTTATTTAGATCTAGAATGGTTGTGTTGGAGGCATCCCTTAATCAGATCGAGAACAGCAAGTAGGTCAAGAATGGACTTTACAATGCTGGCAAGTGCTGTGTTGGAAGCAAAACTTTTCTTAGACAGGAAGCACTGATAAAACAAAGGCATGAGAAAGTGAAATAGCAGAAAAGAAGCGTGTAAATTCAGGAGGAGGTTGGGGGAAGCATAGCTGGGAAATAGTATGGGAAACGATGAGACAGCTAAGGTTTGAAGATGCTGAAGTCAATGTTCAGGCCTGCAGGCTGTAGTATCCCAAGAGGAAGATGAGATACTGCTCCTGTAGTTTGCCTTGACATATACCGATTTACCATATTACTGCTATGTGCAGAACTTACAAGGACTGAGGAACAGTCTGGTGGGATAACCATTTCAGTTCCTGCATCCGATTTAAAATTTGCAAAGTGTAGAATTAAAATAATCCCACAGAATATACCCCATATCTGTAGTACTGATGTTTTGTGTCCAAGTATTTAAATATACCACTTGTTCAGATTCAGAAAATATAACCACAAATCACTCCGGAGTTAACTGGCAGCTTGTTTTGTTCTAGAAAACTTGAAAACTTTTACTTTTCTCAGTGAAAACAAAATCCAAATTATTAAAATGTTATTCCTCCAACTAACATGATTGAAATAAAATTACTGAAATACAATGGTGATAAGGGCAAGAAATATTTTTTTGTTTAAAAAGGAAAATTAGAAGTGAATGACCAATGTTATCTGACTATTTGCTGATCAACACTGGGAGAAACTCTCTTCTCTTTTTCATTAGCACCATGAAATCGTTAACTCCAATCTGAACAAGCACACAAGACCTGAGTTTAACTTCTCATCTGAAGGACTGCACCTCTGATAATGCAACACTTGCTCAGCATTGCACTAAAGTGCCAACCTAGACTGTGAGCTCAAGGGCTTTTCATGGCGCTTGAAGGTACAACCTCAGACTCAACAGAGGCAAGAGAGCTACCAACTGAGGCAGACTGACACCTACCACCTGGAGAAGTGGAGTCCTGTAGCTCAGCGTTTAGAGCACTCGCTTTGCAAGCGAGAGACCTGAGTTCAATTCCAGGCAGAGGGCGAAACCTTGGGCAAGTTTCCTTACTCCACACAGAGCCTAATAATAATCCCTCCAAAACCAAAAAGAATAATAAATTGGTCATTTTCAATCTACGACTGTTTGTGGGACATTGCTGTGCGCAATTGGCTGCCGCGTTCGCCCACAAATATACAGTCAATTCACTTTACAGTGTGTTCTGTGAAGCGCTTTGGGACATCCTCCCGACGTGAAAAGCGCTATGTCAAATGCAAGGATTATTATTATTATTAAGTCCATTCTTTTACTCCCTTCCATAACTTTGATTCCCCTCTTCCTCATGTGAAGGTCTATCTTCCACAAAACACACTTGCAGTATATCCTGTGAAGCGCTTTGGGATGTCGCGACGTAAAAGCCACTGTACCAAATGTAAGGATTATTATTATTATCTGTGCTATTTGATTCAACCACCTCTTCAGGCAGCAAATTCCACAATTTCACAACCCTCTGGGTGAAGTAGTTCCTCCTAAATTCTCTTTTTAATCCCTAGTTGCTATCTCATATTTGTGACCCTGATTACAAATGAGAGGAGAAAAATTAACAAATAGAAGCTATAAAATAAAATCATATTCATGAGGGTTTACTCATTACACTTGAGAGTTGCATTTTACTTTAATTAGTTTCTCCAGAGGTGATAAACAGTTTGTCTCTTAGAAGTGAAATTTATTGAAAAAAAAGGCATCTTTTTTGCACTAGGGATTTTTCAGATTAAGACTTTTGGTCTGGAGCAGTGAGAACCTGGACCTGAAAAATAAGGTTTGACCTCTGATAATGCTGCATTTCATCTGCATCATTTGAGAGCCCTCCTGGATAATTACACATTCTGACACCCTGCCGTCAATCCCAATTTCTGCATGGCTTTGCCTTATTAAATTTCAATCACACTCTTGTACAATAATCTTTATTGAGCAGTCAGTTCAAATTCAGCAGTTGAATATTCTGGTGCACTGAAATGGATTTCCAAATCTTTGCATGGGTTAAGGAGCTAGGTGCCACATTACTGCACTCTTGCTGGTAAACTGCCTAATGCAGGAATTTTACTTTACAAGTGAAACTGTAAACCTGCAATTGAAAAAAGAAAAGTACAAATCCCTATCATTTGAAAAACAATTCATGTAAACTGCTCCACTAGGAAAGGATAATTTAACATTCACCTAATACCATACGAATATTGTCAACCTAGGCTTAAATATAGCACAGACTAAGATTTTATAGCACTATTATAAAATAGTAGCAAAGGTGTAACACTCCTGAATTCAAAATGCCAAATGTAGCCTATTATTGTGGCAGAGTGGGAAGATAAAGATGAAGAAAATAGTTAGCAAGCAGTGAGTGAGTTACATAGAACGTTTCTGCATAGGAGGAGACGGTCTGCCTGTTCAGGTAGATGTTAAAGACCTTCAGCAATTTTCAAGAGGAGTTTCTCCTGTAGTCCTCACCAACAATCCCCCAAAATAAAATTGGTCATTTGTTTCATGGCCATTTGTGTGACACTGTTATGCGCAATTGGGCTGACACTTTTGCCTACAAATACCCAGCCACCCCATTTCACAGTAAATCCTGCGAAGTGTTTTGAGACGTCCTCCATACATGAAAGGCACTATTTCAACTGCGAGTAGTATTATTACACATTGTGTTTGTGCCACCAAGGATTTGGTGCAGTATAGAACTCATGCAATGAATGAAAAGTGAAATCAGAACACAGTTTTCCACTCAAATGGTTGTGGAAATGTGAAATTCACTCTCTTAAATATTTCAATAGATACCCCTTGATAACTCTGACTGCCATATATTTATCTGCCTATCTCTTAAATATTTCTATTGAAATATTTAAGAAGTAGCAGATGAATATATGGCAGTCAGGGATATCAAGGGATATGCTAAAAGGGCAATGGTTTTGAATGGTTTTAAGTTGCAGATCAGCCGCTGACAGCATCACCATCCATGGATGCACACTCCACCTCACTGAGCCAGTCCGGAATCTTGGCATCTTGTTTGACCCTCAACTGTCCTTTCTACTCCACATCTGTGCCACGACCCGCTCTGCCTTCCCCACCTCCGCAACATCACCCAGATCCGCCACTGCCTCACCCCTCAGGCCGCCGACTCTCATTCACGCATTCATCACATCTAGGCTCGACTATGCCAACTTCCTCCTGCCTGTTGGCCTTCCCAACTCTTCCCTCCACAAGCTGTGGATCATCCAGAACTCTGCAGCTCATGTCCTCTCTCCCGTACCAGGCTCCATTACCCCATCACCCCCACCCTCGCTCAGCTCCACTGGCTCTCCATCACCCAAAGGCCAGAATTCATAATCCTCATCTTCGCCTTCAAAGCCCTCCATGGCCTTGCTCCTTACTACCTCTGTGAACTGTTAACACCATATCAACCTGTCCACTCCCTCCGCTTAACAGTCTCCGGACTTCTCCACATTCCCCGCCCGGCCCCCCCACCATCAGCGGTCGGGCCATCGGTTCCTCTGCCCCCACCCTTTCAAACTCCATCCCACACTCCCTTTGCTTCGCTCCCTCCCTTGTCTCATTCAAAGCACGTCTCAAGACCCTCCTCTTCGACCGCGCCTTTGGCCACCTTCCTACCTCTACCCTCCCTGCCCTCCACCCCTCCTAATCTTTACCCCTATCTCGGGTTCAAATCCCTGACTGTCCAGTGCCTTGGGACATCCTCCCAACATCAAATGTAATTTGTTGTTGATCAACATCTGAAAGAGGAAAGCAGGTTGTTTTGGTTGGAACTCTTCATCAGAAAGAGCAGTTATATCACATATTAGCAGCATGAAATTTCATCTAGTCTTTGCCTGTAAGACCATTTGCTTTCAAAATTTATGGTCACACAGCATTTGTTAAAATTCTTAAATTTAGTCTTAATTTGGAGTTTTTAAAAAAAGTGAAAAAACGACCTACAAATTGAGACTGAAAGCATTTTCTACAATTACTCCAAACTCCTTTTTACCTTCTGCCCAATCTATTTCAGTATCTACGCACCTCCCAAGT